TATTTCTGAAAAGTTATTCATCTGGAAATACAATATGTTAGAAAATGTCAACTATCACTTTCTGTTGAAAGTTCTTTTGTACCCTTGTAGCAGTACCCCAGGTATATACACAGTAGCAAATAGTGCACAAAGATCTCTCCCCGTAGGCTAACCTGCAACGTTTCCTTTTTGACTATTGATTGGAAAAACGGAACACAACAGAAAATTGAAATTTTTTATTTTATTCGCCTCATTGTGAAACTCTATACTGTTTGGTTATTATTAAAGGATTTCAAAGGTCGAAATCACACTGAATGATTGATACAGAATACAGTACGACATTCTCTTCGATAACGATAAGTTTTAAATTAAGATAAGTGTTTTAATCAGAACAATTGTAGAAAATTTATAAGAACAGAAAAGAATAATTATCATATATAGTTCAACTTATTCGAGATTTACAATTATTTATCAATCTGTTCTCCTTGTTTGTCATAGAAATGTATACGTACGATGTGTCTGTCTATGCAACATTAAACTTAACTTTTATCTCTGTGGGTACCATTTGTTAAACTAAATTAAAATTAACATTAATGAAAATTAGTAAGAAGTAATTAAATCGTAATTTAAATATTTAATATTTCATATGAAATCATACATACGTAAATACTCTACCCTTATTTAGCATCTAATAAGTTTTAAATTATATAAGCATCTAATAAATCTTGATATAAATAATCTATGGTGCTATCTGGTAAAGACAAAATAAACTAATAAATATTTCTTTGAAATAAGATTTTGATTAATATTTATCTTTTCAACAATTACGTAAAGTGACGTTAGTTAACATAATCCAACGTTATAAAAAAATGTCCATTTATGAAATTCTAGTAGACACGAAAAGATACAATACCGTGAGAAAAACGTAATATTGTTTCTCCTGCTTGTTGTTAATCGATATGTTATTGTAATCTGTGTTCTTGTTTGTAGAGGGAAGTGAACACCCCGACAGCCGTCAGTCAGGGCTTTCCCCAACCTTCTCGATGCTTAATAAGAACTAAATGGAAGCATCTCGTGATTAACACGCGGTAAATGGGATCTATGCTAAGAAAGGAGTGAAAATTATAGGAGATATCATTCTTGTTAGAGAATAAAGTTCTCAATGAAAGGGCTACTATCAACTTTTAAATAAACATTGGCCGTTAAGCTTGCTTTTAGGAGAACAATCTAAACTATTTTATGAATGTCTTTTCTATTAAGTAAGCCACAATCGTTGCAAATTTCTATAAGATTCTACTCTGAACCAAATACGATAGCAAAATGAAACGTATCAATATTGGAGTTTCACGTTGCCTTCGCGTAGTGTTCATAATGAATGCTTTTTGTGATCGATTTATAGAAGAAATAAAATTTGTATACTTTTTATTTAATACATACCATTTGTGCAATTGAATATATGTACTGCATTTACTTACTGTATTACTACAAATATAATTATACCTGTATTTTATTGCATGTCACCCTATTTAATTGTATTTGACTGTATTTGACTGTATTCGACTGTAACTGACTGTAATTCACTGTAATTGACTGTTATTAGCTGTATGTAACTGTAGTTAACTGTATTTCAATGTATTTAATTGTATTTACTTATATTTAACATTGCACAGTAGGTTATCAATTGTGTCTTAAGATAAACGAATACCGCAACATACTACAGAGGTTATTTTATGTAACATTAAATTTAAGTGGAATTATAAATTATTATAACATTTTTTAAGGTCTAAGCGAAAGGTATGATATAATAAGAAAAATAGAGAATATTTTTCAAGAGCTAAAGAAGCTGGAACACTTCCCCTAGTCACTGTTTAATCTTCTAATTCTGTATTTTGTAAATGGATGAAGCTGTTTATTTGTATATTAACGTTTTATTTAAATATAGATAACTTTATTAGTCTATCTTTTTACATTAGTGAGAACCATTTTTGCGCCTAATATGTGATTAAAGACGGCGGAGTTTATGCATTTATAGTCTATAGGGCTCCGTGAAATATAATAAAAGACAACATTTTCACCAGACACATTGAGTTTTCTGTTTTATTCTGAACTCGGTAAGATACTTTATAGAAGAAATAAATTCCTACATTGGTTCTTGTCTTTATGGATTAGTTTAGAAAATGTCATTTTGTATAAAAATCCGCAATCTAGTGATTAATTTTAACTTTCATGTACTTCGACTAAATACTTTTGACCAGGGACAGTACGCTTCGAAACGCATTCGGAATGAAGAATGAGTAGGGGTATAAACGAAACTAACACCGCCTATGGATAAGAGCGTCTGCCTGCCGCATGTTAAGAACAATCAATTAGATGGAATGGGCTTCCCTGTTACTCGTTGGTTACTGAACTTTCCAACGCGCTGGGGAATCATAATCGAGCAACTATAAATTACACGAAGGTAAAAGAGACACGGACGAATTTAATGTTCTGTATGCCTTTCACATCTGTAGTATAAAATCAACTTTACCAACCAACAACACGTGACGAACTTTCTTTGTACATGTTATTACACCGAGCAAATTTATCAGTCAATGGGAAGTTCTAACCTAGAAATTACAAAAAATCAACTTTCTTTTCTTTCATTTTTCGAATCCTCAACCTTTTAAGAATGCGTGTCTAAATGGACCTTTTGAAATTCGAAAAATTCCCGAAGTTATTGTTAGAAATTCAAAGTATACGAACGACCGAGGTAGGCCATGTGCAGTTTGTTAGTGCGCTTCCCCTTGTTCGAGGGAAAGTTAACCTGAGGCTGAAGTGCTTTAGGCAATAAAAGAGGCCATGGTGACGTAAGCGTCCTTAGGGCTAACGAAAAGTCAAGAAGGACTCACTCTTGCATTGCTCGTAGTCGAGATTACACGTATCTATCGGTTGGAGAATAAAACTTTGGTCATTGACACGCCCGTGAGCTTTATTGGATATTCCTATCCGATACTCCATCGCTCACATTATAAGCATTTGAGTAGCGATGGATGCATAGGTTAAACTGGCCATTTCGCGCTCGCAAAGTCGTCTTTGTTCGTCTGTGAACCCTTTGACTACGAAAGGCGTATATGTACGTCTTCGAAGAGATGTCGATTATTGACGAAAGGAATACATGTATGTATACATATACGCTTTCACACCTCCATTAAATATACACGAACATCTTTCGTGGTTTACATAAATAAACCTACCGTGACTCATAGAAATATTCGTACCCTCGAAATTCTTGAATTCGAATGACTAATAATTCTTTAACAAATATATATTTTGAAATGTTTATCAATAGGGATATGTAGTGCAATAAAGAAGCTTTCGAATGATGCGTCATTTATTGATAAATAACAATTCATAGTAATATAAATGAAAACTCATAGTAATATAGTAATATAGTATATAAATTCATACTAATATAAACGAGGAGTCTCGTGTTGACAGTCGAGCGGTACGGACGTATTTGTATACAATCGCGAGTGCCATAATACCAAGTGCCGGTGTCAGTAAATCACTGAAGCCACGTGCTCAATATCGTATGAACGATAGGGAGCAAAATAACGGGATCTCTGAGTACAGGGATCCCTTAGCGAAAACCCAGTTTGAAGTACAAATAACCGAAAAAGACCAACCGAAAATGCAATCCTACGCGGCAGCAGCAACAAACAATGTCTTTCCCCGTAAAGAACAAGCAATAGTACTAGAATCAATTGAAGGATTATCCATTAAAGATTATGCTATTGCTCTTGCAAAAATAGTTAAACCCAAAGAGATACTCTACATTTCAAGAATTTCAAACGGCAGAATATGTACCTACTTGGAATCTAAACAAATAGTCACCCAATTGACATCAAAATACAAAGATATAACAATCAATAATCGTAAAGTTGAACTAAGGCCTCTAATCACTCCATCACAGAGACTAATACTGTCCAATGTCTGCCCCTCAATTCCACATGACCATATTGAGAATATCTTCAGACAAAACAATATCCGTATGACTTCAAAACTCTCCTCCATCAAAGTTGGCATTCAAGAACCTGATTTAACACACATACTAAGCTTCAGACGCTCAATATACATAAACCCAGAAGATATAACTAAAATTCCAAATTCATTCGTAATCACATACGACAACACCCAGTATAGAATTTTTGTGAACTCAGACAAGCTGAATTGTTTTCTCTGCGGACATGAAGGACACGTCGCTAAGCAGTGCCCCAACACCAATCAAACATGCAATGAAGCAACACTAAACAAGGAAACATCTGCCTCAACGACTGTAAGTAATCCCAGTGAAATATACAGCCCGCCCTCCACGAGTAACGAAAAAACAACTAACCAGCCAGAAGAGCTTCCCCCAACCACCAACAAAAGACCTCTATCAACATCAGATAGTAACTCTGAACATAACCACAACCCCGAGAAAGCTGACAAACCAAGGCAATCTCTAATCAACCTCAAAACTATCCTACAATTAAATCGTCTCCCAACTAATCCCACCAATGAAAAACCTCGCAGCAACGGACCTCAATACAAAAAGCCTAAACGTCCCAAATCACTTGACATTGCAATCGAGAAAATTGGTGAAATGCTTGAACCCGCAAAAAATACCATCGAGAATGAAACAAACAACTTCCCATTAAACTTCATACAATTCCAAAATTTTCTTGAAAACGTGTTTGGCGTAGAGAACGTATTAGAAGTGGCCCGAAACTACACCCAAGATATACAAGCCCTCCACCAAATGATAACAAAGATCTACCCTACACTAAAAGAGCGCAGCATCAAGAATAGGCTCCATAGAATCTGCAAAAAAATAAAAAAAGACCTACCTGAAATACTTCTAAATGACCCATACACCATGGATAGTACATCTACCCCTGCTTCTACGGATTATGAATCGGATAACGAACCTAAGCAAATTGTCACCCAACTGAACCTACGATAAACCCATTCTAACCACATTAACCAACCTCAGATACATCATGTTCGACATAATTCAATGGAACGTAAATGGATTTCTGCCACGAATCGACTCTATCAAGATACTTACTAATGAATTGAACCCCTCAGTACTTTGCGTCCAAGAAACGAACTTCAAGAATGAAAGCAAGATAGACCTAAGAAACTACACACTCTTCCACAAGAACAGAACGCAATGCTCCCACGCAAGTGGAGGAGTAGCTATCTACGTTAAGAATAAATTCCACTGTGAAGAAATCCCGATCGCCACTAACCTTGAAGCTGTAGCAGTTAAAGCCTATCTACCTCGCAAAATCCACATAGTTAATGTATACTTACCGAATTCACAGAATTTTACCATGGACGACCTGCTGAACCTTATATCACAAATTCCCAAACCCTTCATAATAGGCGGAGATTTCAACAGCCACAACCCGCTATGGGGCTCTGAACGTATCAACTCTAGAGGAAAGATCATTGAAAGGTTCCTTGAACACAGCAACCTAATTCTACTCAACGCGAAAGTAAACACCCATTACAATTTAGCTTCAAACTCCTACTCAGCTATCGATCTTACCTTCTGCAGCGATGACATTTTTCATCTAACCAATTGGCAGGTTTTGGACACAGCATGGGATAGCGACCACTTCCCAATCAATATCCATATAGACAACCCAAACTCGACTCAACCAACGAACTACAACCAACCAAAATGGAATCTTAAAAAAACTAACTGGAAACTATATAGAGAAGAAATACAAAATAGAACACTCAACTACCGCACACTCGATGAAGAGCCTGACATTAACGACCATCTTGAAAAGTTTATCCAAATTATAACCGAATCTACAGATGCAACTACTCCTAAAATTCCCCATAAAGTCTGGAACAGGAAAGTCCCGTGGTGGAACGATAAATGCAGCTCCTCGAGAAGAGATTTCAGACATGCACTAAACATATTTAAAAAGAACCCCACTATAGAAAACAAAATAAACCTCAAGAAACTCAGAGCTATTTTCCGAAAAACAATCAAACTCAGCAGAAGAAAATCTTGGATCAACTACGTCTCCAATATAAACACAAAATCAGACCCTAAATTGGCGTGGTCAAAAATCCAAAAAATAAATGGGAACTACAGACGAACGGATATAACAACAATAACAACAACTAATAATAACTTAGAAACAAATCCAAAAGACATAGCAAATTGCTTAGCAACAAATTTTGCCAAGAACTCGAGTGATGACAACTACAGCCCTGAATTCAGAAAAATAAAGGCTGGTGTCAAAGAACTGACGCTCCAGGACATCCCACCCCCCTCGAAATCGCCTATCGAAGATCCATTTATTCTACCTGAACTCATTTCAGCTCTAAAGTCTGTAAAAATGTCTAGTCCAGGACCTGATGGTATTCCCAATCTACTACTAAAACACCTCCCGCCATCGGGCACACTTGCTCTGCTCAATCTATTTAACCGCATTTGGACTCAGAGGACTTTCCCAACTGCATGGAGACTGGCCACTGTAATTCCAATATTAAAGCCAAACAAAAACAAGCTGGATTGTTCCTCATACAGGCCAATTGCTCTAACCAACAACCTATGCAAACTCCTCGAAAAAATGGTCAATAATAGACTAGTTTGGAGCCTGGAATCACGGAACCTACTTTCTAACTCACAGTTTGGATTCAGAAAGTCCCGTTCCGCAATGGACCATCTAACCGTCCTTCACTCATCCATTTGTAATGCTTTCGCCAACAACAAACACCTAACGGCCATCAGTCTCGATATTGAAAAAGCTTATGATATGGTATGGAGAACGCGAATCCTCCATATCCTTCAAAAACGTAAAATTGGGAATAACACAATAGCTTTTATCCTTAATCTACTTACAGACAGACACATTCAAGTTAGAGTACAAAACTCAATGTCCGACCTAACATATATACAAAATGGAGTCCCACAAGGCTCCGTCATTAGTGTCACTCTATTTCTTGTAGCCATCGACGAAATTGTAACCTATCTAACCCCACCGATCAAGGGCTGCCTATTTGCAGATGATTTTACCTTCTTTTGCTACGGCAAAAATACAGCCACCACCCAAAAACTCCTCCAAACAACCCTTGATAACCTCAGTTCATGGGCCGCACACTCTGGCTTCCTCTTTTCCAAGTCAAAATCCAAGCAGATTACCTTCTGGAAAGGCAGAAAAAAGCTTCCTGATATAAATCTTACTCTTGACTCAAATACCATCTCCTCAGTAGACAACATGAAAATACTTGGCATCACATTTGACAAAAAACTCACCTGGGCACAACATGTAAAAAATCTGAAAAATAGTTGCCTCAAAAGATCCAATATTTTGAAAAGCCTGGCATGTAAGAGCTGGGGAGCCGATAGAGACTCCCTAATAACCACATATAAAGCATTAGTGAGATCGAAAATAGACTATGGATCGACGATATACGGCTCAGCAAATAAAAGTATCCTAAACATATTAAACTCCATCCAATCCTCTTGCCTACGAATTATCTCGGGTGCCTTTAGAACCACTCCTACATCCAGCCTACAAAGCGAGCTAAACGAGCCCCCATTGCATATTAGACGCAAACTGCTGGATGTAACATACGCTCTCACAGTCTTATCCACCCCAAATAACCCCACCAGCAAATATGTTTTACCAAAGAACCGCTCAAACAACACCAATAAGAAGAAACACTGCCCCAAGCCCATATCATCAAGAATACAGAAGACTCTACACGAACTAAACATGACCCTCCCAAATGTCGAAAACCGCAACCCGTTCCCCTACCCCCCTTGGATTTCCATTAACACACCCACTCTATCACTCTTCGAAAAATACAAGAAAAAAGACACTAATAGCGAAACACTCAACACCATACTCCACGACTATATTAACCAAAACAACTCTATTCCCGTCTATACGGACGGAGCCAAAACAAATACCTCTTGTGGCTGTGCATTTGTTACAGAAAACAATGTTTTCACCAAAAGACTACCGAGCAGTTTCTCCCCGTTATCCTGTGAAACCCAAGCAATACTACATGCCTTAACCTACATCCTTGAATCAGATAAAGACAGATTTACCATATTCACTGACTCCGAAGCCGCGATCGAAAATATCAGCAAATGGTCACAATATTACACCATCCAATCTATACAAAAAATGATCATAGAAATACAAAACAAGGAGAAGTATTTTAAACTAATATGGATCCCCAGCCATTCCGGCCTTGTTGGAAATGAAGCTGCCGATAAAGCCGCTAAGGAAGCTTGCAATATACCGTACTGGGACGACAGATGTAAAATCAATCTACCAGATGTAAAAACTTTAGTGAAAAAATTAATCATGAATTTATGGAACACCAACTGGAACACCGGCACCCCAACGAAACTACACAAGATAAAATCGAATGTTCACGAAATACCAAAATACCCTCCGATGTCTAGGAAAGAACAAGTTGCAATCACCCGCATTCGCACAGGCCACTCAAGATATACACACGGTTTTCTCATAAGAAAAGACAACCCACCCGAATGCAACCTATGCAACACACAAATAACTATCCAACACATTATACTCGAATGCCCAAAGTTCTCCCCGGAAAGAAACCGATACTCCATTAAGAGTGACTTGAAGACGAACCTAAATGAAGCAAATAACATCGGAAACGTCCTTCTCTTCTTCAAAGACATCAATCTACTCGACGAACTGTAGACGCAAGTTATATTCCATATTTTGTAATACAAGTGGTCGCTAATGACTTTACAGTTGATGCGACCACCCCAAATAAATAAAAGTAAAAAAAAAAAAAAAAAATTAAAACGTACATAATACATGAGAGATTAAAATGCAGAATGTCAAAATATTGTAACGATTTAATGTCTGTTCAAAACAAGTTATCGAAAATTCATGCATCTGTAATTAGGCGGGCACAGCTAGTATACGACAGCGAAGCAATCAGTAAGCAATTATTCAGTAAGCAGTTCTTTCTTGAATTTAGTAACTAATGAATATCACGTAGGCATTATTTACAAACGCGATGGGGATTATACGTAGGTCGGTGAACCATATTTTATTGTTAGCCATAATTGCATTCGAACGCAGTGGATGTTCAAACTTGCGTTTCTCAAAAATTAAGCCTCGGATGAAAGAATTTTATTCTATATTATTTTCTCATTTTTTCACGAGGAATCAATTCATGTCAGCTTGTACATGTTATTTGGTCACACCCTGTATATGGTGTATTTTATAACTACATACCTCGACAATTTTTCCGCTAATAATTCTTCTATTTTTTCGCAATAAACTTATTTTAATATTTTTGAATGTAAACTACTCGAAAATGCAATAAATAAAACAGCAGACAAGAGAAATACAATATTTTAGTTACAACATACAGTTAAGAATCTCAAATAAAAACAAAAAGTTGAAATCGGTTACAGAGTTTTAAGTAACAGTTATTGATAGGCGGGTACCTGGATACGGATACTCCGGTCATGAAACAGTGTGGAACTTTCCGGTTATGAACACTAGGGTTAAGGTAAAAGCGAAACAGCTGCTAGGAAGATATTCTAAATTAAAACTATGTAGGAAACAAATTACTGCTATACAAGATTATCCTAAAGATTGTCTGGACTTATAGTACCCAGCTATTGGGTACGGCTTGCAATTCGAATATAGAAATTTTGCAAGGAAACAGGAAGAAATAGGGAGAAAGTTGAGAATAGGCACTCTCACTCTATCGCCCATAACTTACTTATTTGTCCATGGATTTTGCTCAGGTTGGGCTTGTTGTCTTCGTAAACATGCGTACTCTGCGTAAAAAATAAAGACCTGGACATGACCTAATAATTTCTATGTTTTCTAGGCAATGTAGTGTATTTTCGATTTCAATTTCGACCCCAAAAAATGGAATTTTCCTTAAGTTTCGCTCGATTTCGCCGAAACTATTGGTCTGATTGGAAAACAATCTAGGAAAGAATTGTATGTAATTTAATTACCTTTAGTTCAAGAGTCATCGCGATCAAATCGGTCAATTATAACGCGAGATACGGCAAAAACGTCGGGGCGTCTTTTTAAAAAATTACCAAAATATTCATCAGGCGATACCTCAAAAACGTATCCATAGAATTACATCTCACGTCGATTTTTGAGTGTAAGCGACCACCTTCCATAAGAATTTCATAGTAGAGTCTGGATCACCAAATGACTGTAAACTATGGTCTGTTCCACTAAAGAAAAGCCCTGGGAGGTAGGCCCGACTTTTCACAGTGTTGTTGCGATCACGACACGTCTTTGGCGCTTGTGTCTCTGTCACTCTTCGCGTCTTAACCAATGACGTTGGACCGTCGACGTGCGTCCTCGTCTACGATCGTCTGCCTTCATCGCACGTATTACAAACCTCTCGAGAAGGACCTACCTACTATCGCAAGTAGTGGGGACTGCTTTCGGTACGCGCCCGTCACTCATTCATTGTTTGGAAATGACGGGAATGTTGACGAGACGCTGAACGTTTTCACACGTCAAAAGTTAAAACAGATGAATACGAAAAAGTTTATTTCTTTTGAAAAGATGTATTATACCCAAATATTGAGCAACATATTAAGAGGGGATTAAGTTAATACGTAGGTTTTTAAACGCTACGCGTGGAAATCGCAGGTTAAAGAAGGAAGTTAGTTTACCGAGCGTATGAGCGACAATCTCTCGTGATGTTCGTGCCGAAGGATGGAAAGAGATATACAATGTCATTGGGACCGTGACAACGTCGCACGAAATACGCAGCTCGCGTTGGATGCGCCGAGGAAGGGAAACCCCTTAGGCAGTCATGCCAGAATCGTGGAACTTGGTTCCCCCACTATGACCTACCGGCGTCACCCACTTTACTTCCACCGTTCTGACACCAAGCATACTTTTAGCCCCGTCCGTGTGCGCTGCCCGTTCGCCGTGTGTTCCGCCGACTACTATCTGCGTCACCCGGCAACGTAAAGAATGAACAAACCTTCGAGACCCTGCTCGAGAATCTCACTGGGCCGAAAATTCACGTTTCCGACGCGGCGCCCGGCAACCTAAACGCGTGAGCAACAGTCGGGAGACACCGTTGTAATCCCAGTGCGGCGGTTTTAGTTTTTATATTTAATTATTTTGTAATTTCACTTTGTAGCCTCTCAGCAAAATAAAAACTTGAAAAATATTAATTTGTGAAGGAAGGAGATGAATTTTTTTCTCTCCAATATCTAAATTTTATATTTTATACATACTTATTATGTTATGAATACAAAAATTATTCTTAATAATTAGATATTACCGTTATTTTAACTATTGGAGTACATAAATATAAAAACATTCGTAGAAACATCCATTAGATTAAAATGTTTCGTTATAAATATATCTTCGATCTTTTTAAAGGGTATAGCCGGATAAGGGGACCAAAAATCCCTATTTAATGGCATGCGAAAATTCTATAAATAATCTGATAGGTAGTATTTACTGGGGCACGTATTAATGATTCTTTTTTCTGATTTTTCAGTTGAGTATTTTAATTGTAAAAATTCAAAAACGTTCTCAATTTTTTTGAGATTTTTGGTAGGGTGCGCCATAGTTTTAAAAATCGAAGACCGATATTTTCGACGTTTTTTCCGTGAAAAAATAACTTACGGATATTTTAGTTTTATATTTCCATTATTAAGTACATACGTATATTATACGATTGTAAATATTTTATATAAATTGTAGAAGTCAAATTATCTCAATTTAAACTGTCTTGTACTTCTTATATAATATGTAGTGAATGTAATAAAAAAATTCTTAATACAATCTGCGGGACTCGAACCGCGTTCAAAAAACTTCACATCGGTACCCTAGTCGAAACGCTTAGCCACTACACCAACGACCCTTTTGAAATTCGAGGAAATATTCTATGATACATTAAGTGCATTTTACTTCTATAATTTATATACTGTTTTACTGGATATGGAAATATTTACAATTATATAATATATTTATATAATTCTTTAACGCCCAGACTCTTAACATATCATTTCAAAGTTATGAGATTGATATATATGTTGTATCTTGTTATTTTTAAGTCTAAACATCAATACCTACTTTTTAATTTTTTTGCCTTGCTCAGAAAAGTTAGATATTAATCGGCAACAGAATTGGACGCACTTTTAGAATTCGTGTTAAACCGGTGCAATACTAGGCGTTAAAGGGTTAATAAAAGAAATACAAACATTTAAAATACTTGTAAGTTCTCTTTTCACAGAAAAAACGTCAAAACCATCAGTTTTTGATTTTTAAAACTACAACGGACCCTATAAAAAAATCTTCAAAAAATTGAGGACATTACGTATGATAGTATGTCGTTAGTGTGAAAGGATACATATGATGCTGTTAGAAATTCGATGAGAAAAAATCTATTTCCAACACTTTCATTTCTTGAATTTTTACAACTAAGATACTCAAGTAAAAAAATCGAGCAAAATTTATTAACATGTGCCCCAGTAAATACTACCTATCAGATTTTTTACAGAATTTTTGCATGCCATTAAATGGGGACTTTTGACCCTCGATTTGGCTATAACCTTTAAAACGAATGAAGATATATTTATAATGTAACATTTTAATCTCATGCAATAGTTAATATAACGGTATTATCTAATTGTAAGAATATTTTTGGTATATATAACAGAATATGTATGTAGATAATATAAAATTTAAATATTGAAGAGGAAACAATTTATTTCCTTCTTTTTAAATGTCTCACAAATTAATATTTTTCAAGTTTTTATTTCACTCAGAGGTTAAAAGTGAAATTATAAAATAATTAAATATAAAAAATAAAACCGCCACAGTGGAATTCAAACGGTGTCTTCCGACTGTTGCTCACGCGTTTAGGTTGCCCGGCGCCGCGTCAGGTCAGAAACGTGAATTTTCGGCCTAGTGAGATTCTCGAGCAGGTTCTCCAAAGTTTCTTCATTCTTTACGTTGTCGGGTGACGTAGGGTAGTTAGCGAAAACACCCGTACGGGTAGCGCACACGGACAGGGCTAATGGTATGCTTGTGTGTCAGAACGGTAGAAGTAAAGTGGGAGACATTGGTTGGTCATAGTGGGGGAACCAAGTTCCACGATTCTGGCATCACTGCCCTCAGGGCTCTTCTTTAGTGGAACAGACCATAGTGTAATAGGCCAACCTGCATTTATCATGCATACTTATATTGTAGGAATAGAATGTTTATTGGAATATCTATCCGTTTATTATACAAAGAACGAGACGATAGAAACAATACGAAATCGAGACAGAATATACACTCGCCGCCGTAATATACAAACAATCGTGATTCCTAACCGTAACCGTAATCCGTAATCCGTAATCCGTAATCGTAATCCGTAATCGTAGTCGTAGTCGTAATCGTAGCTGTAATCGTGATCGTCGTATCGTGATTTTCGTATAACTCCTGCCCACGCGCCGCGGACACGTCCTTTTTATCCGCGCGTCGGTTGAACGTTTGTAATGTTCTTTCTTTTTATTTCACACGTTCGAGTCAACGGACTTCGACGCCCGCTATTCGTTTTAGCGGACTCTGACGTTTCGTTACTTGTCCGCGGTACATCAAAACATTTCGGCAATCATAATACCGCCGACGCTCACGTACACACACACACACACACACACACATTCATTCGCACACGCTGTCGGGCATAGGAGAGTTTA